CAACAATATGCTGGCTAAAGTTACAAGTAAATTTCCATGAGATGGATAACTTCACATCCATAAGTATTTTGAATGCAACGTCTTATGTGAATGATGGCAACATAGAAGTGCCCTCGATGGTAATTATTTTTAATATTTTATTTTATGAATCATTTTTCATCTTGTTTCAGGTATCTCTAATACCAGTGTCGATTGTTGGTGACAAGTATGCAGAAAAATCGGTAAAAAAGTAATCGGTATATGATACAAAACATAAATAAACATAAAAGAATCACTTATAAGTTTACTTAAAGGCAAAGTATTCATCTTCAAAAATTTTGGACATGGCTTAGCTTAAAAAGTATACTTATAAGAATACAAGTTTCGACCTGTCATTAAGCAAAGAAATACAAGTTACAAAAAATAATTAAAAAAAAAAGGACTTTTTTGTCGAATCTTGGTCATGTTATTCTAAAGCACTTTTGAAAAATTATCCACTAAAATTTAGCTTCTCGAAATCAAAAGCCACTTTTGGTTATTTGCAGCCAGGCCAAACAGGCCTTAGTGTGAGTTTTTCAAAACAAAAAGATTATTTTCTTCCTTTTTTCAATTCTGTAAGATTAGCCAAACATGCTCCAACTCTGTAGCACAAACACGCAACTATAATTTTGCAGTTTCAACCGACTAGCCATTGATCCAAATCTTGTAAAAAGCAGGAAAAAAACAGTATTTTTAAAAATTTTATGTATGTTTGTTATTGGTAAGCTGTTCTATAAAAAAAAGTCGACCTTATGTATAGAACGACAACTAAACTTCTGTTTTTCTTGATAGTGTCTGTATAATCCATCTTATCCAAAAAAGAAATGGAAAGAATTAAGAGGGAGAGACAACTACCAACAATGAAGGAACAGGCAGTCCATCCGCCGCTCTTAGACCTAAGTACTCGGTTTCCTTTAAGATCCACAGTTCCATCCTCTGTGTATTCACTCCGCCCATCTTCGGCAGTCGCAGTGGTTGTGGAGGTGGTGCCGGCGGCCATGCTTGCAGCCTGATTACTTAACTTTTCGTGGGACAAACAAAACGTAGAAATAATAAGTAGTTTCAGTGCAAAACACCGTGCATTTGCGTGTGCGTAGGCAAGAAATGTTCTCTATATATGCATGAAATGAATTATTAGGTGCTTCTTTCGTAAAATCCTATCAACTTTTTTGAGTAATACTTTAATTTTAATCACACGTTACATCAACCGTTTATCAAAATTTACTAAAACTTTTATAATTTCTTTTGTCAAACAACCTGGAAAGTGGTCGTTCTCGATGTATATGTCTAAAAATTTAGACACATTTATGTAAAATCAGACTGAAATATTCAAAGCTAGATTAATCTATAGAAATTATGCACATGCAAATCGATCTAATGTTAAAGAATCGAAGGAAACCCTAATCTCTCATGTATCTAGTTTAACTCAAAATTTTGGAGGTGTTTGGAAATCATTTTTATGTAAAAATGTATTTTTGAATAGTAAATTGATGGGAAATGTGTGGTTGAAAAATAAGGAAATGTTTTTTTATTTACGTGTAATATTATTTTAATAAAGAATATGTGTTTGAAAAGAAGAGAGAAAAAAATACATTTTGAAAAAAATGAGTACCCAACAGCTCATTTATTTCATCCTGGAATCGAAGAATTCATATTTTTGTAATAAATTGGGTAATATATAATAGATCCTGATTGCTTTAATTAACAAATATTTAAGAGTAATATACTAAGAAAAATTTGGTCTTTTGTAATCTCAATATAATTCATCTCAATTGACAAATTATTAATATTAGAGAAAATTCATTATTAGTATTGGTAAGTATATTTTGCATACTTAGCATAGCTTCTAAACTTGATAAATTATGACTCGATGAGAAGACATCTACCTAATTTTATTGTAAATATTGTAGGAAATCTTCGACTTGGATATAATTGCAAAATGAAAGGCGATTTCAATCTAATTGGAGTTGATTAAGAACAACTGAAGATCATCCGTGTTGCATGAAATCAATATGAAGCATTAAGATAGAAACCTGAAGATATTCACAAGTTTCATGAGTTAAATTTAATATTTGAAAAGTTCGAGGATTGAATCATAAATTTTCAAAACTTGCGACGAATCAATTTCAGATGATTGTGGAGGATCATGATCGAATTATAGAGATTATGAAAGACCTAAGATGCAAAAAGAAAGAGACTTGAGATGAACAAAATGAGAAAGCCATGGATCAACTTAAACGAGATGCAAAAGTTTCCCTTGTTTCATAGTAAGGTGGAGAGAAATTCCACCTTGCCATAGCAAAAGTGTTTTTTTTTTTTTTTTGGGTTAATTTCACAAACGGTCATTAAACTTACAGAAAAATTACAAAACGGTCACTAAAGTTTAAAACTTTCACTAACGGTTACTTAAATATTGGGACGCTTTAAAAAACGGTCACTAAAGTTTAAAAAGTTTCTGAAACGGTCACTGAAGTTGAAAAACAATTTTTTAGTTTTTTTGGTTACATTTGCGGCAAATTTTCGACTACTTCCAACCAACGATACCATCGAATTTTGATACCGTTGGAAAGCCCACAACGTCCTCTTCAATTACTACTCAAAATCTTTCCGTACCACCAAGGAATTCGACCAAAAAATCACCGCAAAAGTCGCCCCAAAAAATCTGAAAATCTATCCAGATTTTCAGATTTTTGGGCGAGTAGATTTTCAAATTTTTGGGTGACTTTTGCGGTGATTTTTTGACAACTTCCGACCACCCAAATAGCCAATTTTTGATACCTTTGTAAAGCTCACAATGTCCTTTTCAATTACCATCCAAAATCTCCTCCGAATTCCAAAGGATTCGGCCGGAATAAACCCGCAAAATCGGCATCCCAAAAAGGCAAAAATCTGGGATGCCAACTTTGTGAGTTTATTCCAGTCGAATCTTTTTGAGTTTTGGGGAGATTTTGGATGCTAATTAAAGAAGACATTTTGGACTTTCAAACGGTATCAAAATTTGGCTATTTTGATGGTTGGAAGTTGTAAAAAAATCGTCGCAAAAGTCCATCAAAAATCTGAGAATTTGGGCAGATTTTTGTCTTTTCGGGTAGTCAACTTTGTGGGTTTATTTCGGCCGAATCCTTTGGAATTTGGGGGAGATTTTTTGTTGTAATTGAAGAGGACATTGTAGGCTTTCCAACGGTATCAAAATCCAGTGGTATCGGTAGTCGGAAGTGGTCGAAAAATTGTCGCAAAAGAAGCTCAAAAATTTTTAAACTTCAGTGACCATTTTGAAAGCGTCCCAATACTTAAGTGACCGTTACTGAAAGTTTTAAATTTCAGTGACCGTTTTGTAATTTTTCTGTAAGTTCAGTGACCGTTTGTGAAATTAACCCCTTTTTTCCTTAAAATGATTGTTTTATTTGACTAAAGTTAGATTTAATTAAATATTTAATCATTGTGAGTCTATTCTTGAACTGACAATCACTTTATTATTTGTCATAATATCGTCCATTTGCAAAATTTAATAACAATAAAATTACTTGTACAAAATTAGATTACAAAAGTTGAGTTACAAAGTGTGTTGACAAAATCCAAACCATTGATTTCAAATAATTTAAAAATCTGTTTTTAAAATAATTGGTATGACTGTGATTTTGTCATCCAATTTTGTCAACTCCTTTATAAGTGTAGCATAACTCATTTAATAAATACGACACTGATGACAAATTCCTTGAGAAGCTGAGGTTATGACACGTGTGCGATTATCTATAATAGACCAGATTGATGGGACAAAATTCCCAGAATAATTGTGGATCATAGAGCACTTATCTATTTGTTAAATAATACCAGCCTCGATCACTTTAGGTAGACATTTTCGTTTTGTTAATGATCACGAAAATGAAATTTGCTCTCAACGTAGGCCCCGTTGTATCCATTTTTTTCAAGAGCCGTGCTCCAACAACAGGGGTGGTCGAACCCCACAAATAGGGGGGGAGGGGGGGAGTCCCATGTTTTTTGCGGACCCCACCTCCATTTGTGGGGGCTACTATCAAGGAGGCAGTCAGCCTCCCTGCTACAGGAGCAAAATTCTTTTTTCAAAATGTATTTTTTTCTTTATTTTCAACCGTACACTCTTTATTAAAATAATATTACACGTAAGTAGAAAAATATTCATTATTTTTTAACCACACATTTTCCATCAGTTTACTATTATAAAATGCATTTTTACATAAAAATGAGTCTCAAACACCCTCGTAAGTTATTTCTTGGATTTTTGTAAATCATCTTTTACGAGGTTACGATATCAAGTTTTCGAAGGTCATTGTTATAGGAAGGTAATTTGTTTTTGAAAATTTGTTTGAACAATGTTCAATAAATAAACTACTGTATTTTTTTATCATATTATTTTTTCTACAGTAATCGTTTTTAATCATACATTTTTCATTAAAATTATATTACATATAAATAAAAAACTTTCCTTTCTTTTTAACCATACATTTCAATATTAATCACTATTTCATAATACACTTTTTGAAATTAAACGAGCACACACAGGCCCTAAATACATGTTTTGAGCAACAAATAAACTAAATAAACATCTCAATGATTAAGTGCTTCTTTGAAAAAATCTCTTAAATCTTTTGTGATTAAAGTTGACAATTAATTTCAATTTTTTTTTTTTCAATATCTCTTAAATCTTTTGTAAAAACTTTGTCAAACATTTCGTAGATTCAAGTTAGATGGATTGTTGCCTCTCAGGGCATAGCTCAGTGGTACAAAGGACAGGAGTGAAATTATCTCACGCATTGTTGGTAGCCGCAGTGTGAGGGTTCGATTCCTGATATATGGAATTGGATTTCTTGTAGCCACAGTGTACAAACAACTCTTGTTCTATAGTCTATTGGAGCACATCCTGCGATTAGCTCCCTCACATAGCTTTAGGGGTAGAGCTGTGGGGCCCTCAAGGTTGGGGTTCAACCTCTTTTTTTTTTTTTTTTTTTTTTTTTTTTAAAGTTAGATGAATTGTTTCAATATTGAAAAGTGATGCCTAATTAATAGTCCATGTATTAATCAAATTTCACAGTCTAATAATTGAAAGTTGAAACTGATTTGACGCCACTTTATTTATTTTTAAACCAATCTGAGACAACCGCCATTCGTTTCGATGCTTAAAAAATATTCTTCAATAATTTTTTTAGAGAAAATTGCAGCATTTATCCCTAACTTGTCATTTTGTAGCAACTTCATACCTAATCTATATATCTTTGCAACACAATGGCAACGTTCGAATTTTCGTAGCAGGACCAGAACTCTAGAATATATTTCCTTGCATTGTGTGACGAAGATGACGAGTGAAGTATTGCTTTTGATTTGTTTAAATTCATTTTAAAGAAATTTTGCAGGTGGGTTTTTACATGATCAGATTATTGCTGTAATAAAATAATAACTTATAATAAATAAATTGTGATTTTATTTATTTAGCTCATGTTTGAGTCACATTTTAGGAAAAATGTATTATTTATGTCAAATCAATGAGAAATGTGTAGTGAAAAAATAAGGAAAAATTTTAGATTTGGATGTAATATTATTTTATTGAAGAATGTATGGTTAAATTGATATCAAATCACTATTAAAGAATGTATTTTTTTGAAAATAATGTGGCTCAAACAAACCCTTATTGCGTTTATATACTACTAAGCACGCGAATTAAAGTGCTTATAATCACTTGTAACAATATAAGTTGAGTGGTTGAGGAGTGTAACCTAACGTAATATATATTTTGATTATAAATAATTTGTTCACAAGGTGAATACCTTGTACGGAAAGATTGTAGTGTTGACCGATTCACTATTTGGATTCGCAATTTATTTTTATCGCAGAAATAGTTAAATGTGACACTAGTACACTTTGAGTTTATTGAATGGACCACGAGTCGGGATTAATTCTATAGCATGATTGTACGAATAATCAAATTCTACTTGATCACTGTGTATTTCATCTAAAATTCTTGACATGATTATGTATATCTCTTTGCAACTTTAATGGTTTTTTTGTTTCAATAATGGGTGAGATTAATTTAATTGATCAAATATCTCTATAAGTTGGAAAGTTGAGA